AATCACCTGAAAGAATAATGTTTTATTTATTCAACTAAAAAAACCATAACTGAGTACTAATGAAAATTAAATAACTTCCCCATCTTGGAATTGCCTGTTTTTGACTTTTTCCATGGTTAAATGAAATATAATTTCTAGGATTTTGTCACTGGTTAGTTCAAGAAGTCCATAATTTTATGGCTTATTTGTACTTACAACTTCTGAAGTCCTCTGGTGGGTACCCAAAGTCCAGTGCTTTCTAGGTTGATGTAGAAAAGGACTCAAGCTGTATTATACCGTCTCCTTTTATAAATGAGTTACCATTTTTGGAATGTTAACTCTAACCTGTAGTTAGTATTGCTTGGGTTTAATATGCAGTCAGTACTCTAAAGTTACGTTTAAAATGAAGTATTTGTGGGGTAAGTGTAAAAATAAAAAAACCCTACTGCATTTCATAGGTAAACTGAATAATATCTGATACTCACCATACTGTCTACTTCATTGTGGGAACACCTCCTCCCTCGCCAATCTGAAAAGTATTCTACAATGTTAGGTCCCTGGATGGTTCAGGAAACATAGTCTGTACAGTGTGTTTGTGTTGAACGTTTGTAAATTTAAATACAGTAAGATAACCATAATAAATGTCACAATTCAAGTGAAAACATAGAGTGCTTAGCATTCAACAGCAAAAGAACTTGAGATTTTTGAACAGTTGGGGAATAGGAATTAGTAAACAGCTTTACTATAATGCATAGAGGAGAGAAAGAATAAGAAAGTCCTCTTTATAAGAGGTTTGATTTGATTAGTAACAGCTGATTTGTCAGCATTTGGATTGAGTCATGCTAAAGAAGCAAAACTTTTCTTTCAAAATGGAAAGTAATTTGTATGTTTTATGGTTATTTCAGACAACTTAGGATTTGTTACAACTGGTTTAACTGCAAAAAAAAAAAATGAAATTTATAAATGGTGAAAATAACAGTAGTGAGTGCTTTGACTTCTTGGCAACCAGAGTGTTTGAGACTGAGATATGACAATATCTAAGGAGCCCTGGGGTGTAACAGTTAAGCACTCAGCTGCTCACTGAAAGGTTGGTTTGAACCCACTCACCTGCTCCATGGGAAAAAGAACTGACCACCTATCTGCTCCCATAAAGATTACAGCTTAGAAAACCCTATGGGGTAGCTATACTCTGTCACGTGGGGTCTGTGTATTGAAATTGACTCAGTAGCACCTAACTAACAACAGCAACAGAGCTCTCCTGGTGTGGGGATGAAGAGGAGAGTAAAGTGGTGGTTGGGGGGTAGCGGGGAGAACTGGCTAGCAGGCACTCAATTTCACATTGCTACATTAACCATTTAGATCAGGGGTCAGCATTTAACTATGGGTCAAATGCAGTTTGCTGCCTGTTCATTTTAAATAAAGTTTTATTGGAATACAACCATACCCATTCATTTAGGTATTATCTAAACCAATGGGAAAGTTAAGTAGACAGATTTTATTGCCCTCAAAGCTAAAAATATTTACTATTTGGCCTTTTACAGAAAGGGCCAAAGTTAAGTCTTAGACAAATACAAAGTTATACTTTCCCCTTAATGTTGTTTTAAAAATTCAAAATAAATTACTATAATTAAAAAAACTACTAAAGCAGGAATAATATCGAATGTCCTTTTTATTAATAAAAAAATATACCCGATTGCCCTGAAGAATCACTGTCCTAGACTATCTGCGGTTCTAATTAATAAGGCAAAAAAATTGTTTGCTCAGTGACAAACTCATATAGAGGCTTCATTCTAATACTTAGACTTGTTAAGAGACTTCTTAAAGTGATTTTGCTATCATCAACCAAAATAATAATTTAGAATTTCATGAGTTATCCCCTTCCTTCCACGGTTGCCATCAGTTAGAGTTGTATGTTATGTAGGGAAAATCAAGCCTTATGGAAAGATAGAATAGTTGAAGATAGAATATGGTGGTATAGATATTGAGGGGAAGCATTCTGTTCATGGTATTTCTGTGGGCATGGTGCATACACATAATGAACACAATAAAATCTGCTTTTTATAAGAAAATACTAGTTTCAGATAGAGGCCTGGAGGACAACAAGCCTAAATTATGTGAGCAGGCCTTTTCCCCCACTTTCTCTTTTACTTTATTTTATAATTCTGAGGGTAAGCATCAAACCATATTTACTGTGCAAATATTTTATTGTATAATAGATCCCTGACTAAGTATTTGGTTAAGAAACACTTTTTTTTTTTTTAAATCTATAAGTAAAACTTAAAGTGATGACTTTTAGAATGGTTGTTTTTATAATTATCAGATACACCTGAAATTGTAAAGGTTAATTTTATATTACGGAATTTAAATATGAGTTTTTTGTTTGTTTCGGTGCATGTATATTTTATTTTATCATTTTCTTTTAATGTTCTTACTAACTCACAAATATTTCCTTTTATTTAGGAAGCTGAACAAGCAAGAACAGACTACTTCATTAGGACACTGTTACTAGAATTTCAAAATGTAAGTATTTTCCATTTAAAGACAATTCTAAGAATAGTTTTCAAAGAAAACTTATATAAATAATATACTATCTTATCTTACACAGTTAAGGAGGTTTGTTAATTTTTTATTTATATAAAATAATGAAAAAGAAAATGAGAGTGTAATTTTTTTTTTGGTATCTTGAGCCTTATACTTATCAAATTAGATAATAAAGTAATATAAATTTTAACATACTTAAAATGTTGTTGTTAGCTACCATCAATTTTCTAAGCAGTGTGCTTTATGTTAAAACATTTAGAATAGCAGTTTTCAAAACATTTTGATATCAAGACCCCTTTACATTCTTTGGAATTATTGAGGACCCCAAAGAGCTTTTGTTTTTGTTGGGTGTATCTTTCAATATATACTATATTTGAAATAAAAACTGAGAAGTTTTTAAAACATGCAAATACACATACATTCCATTAGCTGTCAAAAGTGATGACGTCATCACAAGTCATGTAGCCTTAGGAAAACTCCACTGTACACTCATGAGACAATGAGAGTGAAAAAGGCAAATAATACCTTGATATTAGTATGAAAATAGTTTCCAACTTACAGGCTCCCAGCCCATACTTTTGAGAACCACTGACCTAGAATAAGGGTTTGGAGTTGGACAGATTTGTTTTTAAGTGCTTTTTCAGCTTAAGTATTATACTAGTCTTCTATTTACAATAGATTCTAATGCAGTGCTTAAGGTATACTGTTCATCTAGTAAATAATGTAGATTAGGTAGTATAATGTAGTGTAATGGTTAAAGTGCAGATTCTGGAGGGAAGACTGCCTGGGTTCAGATTCTACATCTGTTATTTGCTGTGAATCTTTAGGGAAGACATTTAATTTCTCTGTGTCTATTTTCTTTTCTATACAATGAGAATAGTATTAAGAATACCTTTCTCCTGGGGCTCATATGGATTAAATAGGTACATGTGAAGCACTTAGATCAGTACCTGGCATGTGGTAGACAGTCAATAAATGTAGTCTATTTATTTTATTTTTTTTAAAAGGCATTGCTAACTACCACACAATATCTTAGAAATGACAGTAAAATGAGATGTACAGCTTTTCTGTATACTTTAAAACTTGCAAGTGTATTCTCGTGATTGTTGAATTTCTGTTTATCTTCAAGGAATCTCGTAGGCTATATCAGTTTCATTATGTGAACTGGCCAGACCATGATGTTCCATCATCATTTGATTCTATTCTGGACATGATAAGTTTAATGAGGAAATACCAAGAACATGAAGATGTGCCTATTTGTATTCACTGCAGGTACAAAATTATTTTCTAAATATTTAAATGTATTTTTCTCTGAGTTTAATGTTAAATAAGTCTTTATTTCTACATTAATATGACAGCAAGTATCCTGAATTTTCCTAGACTTGATATAGTATACAAGGTTTAGGCCTTGTAAACTGACACTATCTCACCTGATTGAAAGAATATTTAGAGTAATGTCACATTAAAACATAGGATGATATATTTGAAAATGGTATTCACATGGTGATAAGCTGTAGAACATACTCTTTTTTACTCCTAACAAATTAAAGCATATAGTCTCACAGATGTCCATCATACTCTATTTTTTTAAAGCCAATATTATAGTAGTATTTTCCTTATATTAATTAAAAAAGAAAAAGAACACAAAGAAAACATTTTTATGTGGATAGTGGTCCTGAGAACCAAACAGTACTGTGTTTTATGAACAAATTATACCTGTCCCTCACTTACTGACATAGTTAGGTTCCAAAGACTAGTTTGTTATGCTAAAATTGAGGTTATGCGAGAGTTGGGGCAGTCCTGTCTTCAGTGCCGGTATGCCTGTGTAGAACCCCCCTTCCCCACCACGCCTACCGCACCGCTGCGGAGCCTGTGGGGTGTGGGCAGTGTTGAGGGTGGCGATGGTGGTCAGGGGTTGTTTGCAGCCTCCAGAGCAGCAGGGGTCCACTATCACCTGGCTGCACTCCAGGCTTCTGCACAGACCCCTGTGCCTTGCTTGTCCCCCTTCCTGCCCTGCAGGCTGCAGAGATGTGACTCGGCAGTGGGTGGCTCCAGGGCCTCCTGACAGGTGATGCTCGGCCACCTGGGCCCAGGGAAGGCTGTGGAGGTTGCAGAGAGGCCTCTTTGGAAGAAGAGACTTATAGGCTGTGGTGCGATTAATTACTTTTGCGTGTGGCCTTTCTAGCCATGGTCTTGTAACTCCCACCCACATGATTGGGTGGGACTGTGTGATAGGGTAATTGTGGCCTACCAAGGGGATTGGTCAGTTTTGCTTTAAAAGAGAGCTAATTCCAGAGCAGAGAGGAGGATCCTACCACCAGCAAGGAAGAACAGCCAGGAGCAGAGAGCTTGTCCTTTGGCCCCATGATCCCTGCACTCAGAAGCTCCTGGAAGCAAGAGACCTGGAGAGAGAGCAAGCTGTAACCCTGAAGACGGTGAGAAGTGGTGGTAGGAGAGATGGCAACAGAGATTCCGTAGCGGGAGACGGCACAATGGGCTTCTCGGTCCACAGAGAGAAAGCTGAGTGCCTTTGGGGAGAGGCCTAGGGTCAGGGAGAGAGGCATGCCTGCGAGCAGCTTGGGAAGAGGCTGTCCTGATGGAGGAACTGTGTCCTGAGTGTTCCTGAGCCTGAATTGTAACTGTAACTTCCCTAATAAACCCCATAATCATGAGTATGGTCTGTGAGTTCTGTGTGGCCATTGCAATGAATTATCAAACCCAGCAGAGAAGTGGAGTTTTGTGCAAGTAAAGATGGTGGAGAGAGGAGGCTAGTCTGGCCTCTACCTCATGGGAGTCAGCCTTGCGCTGTTGATCTTGGTTCTCCTTCCTCTTGTGGGGTTGGAGGAGGTCAGACACTGGCCCAAAGCCGTTTTTACTTGAGGGCCCCCCTCCTATTCCTTCCACCCGATTCCCGCTGCTTCCTGCCACTTCCTCATGGCCCAAGGACCTGGCCCAGCCCCTCCACCAAACTGGGTAATATGAGTAGTTGGTGGCCCATGTGGCCTCACTCCCTCTCACAAACATCACCTTCCTCTTCTTCCTCCCCCTCGCCTCTGCTCCTCCTTAATGTGCAAAATAGTTGGATATTAGTTTTTTTTTACTATTGTCATAAATGTGAAATGCCATATATTGAGATAGTCTATAAGTGAGGAGTAGGTATAATAAGTATACTTTTCTAGGGAGATTAAAACTTATTTTAGAGCAAAAAATAACTTATTAATTTTTAATCAGTTTCCTTGAAATAATGGCCAAAGCAGTCTTTATGCCTGACAAACATCAACGTGAATTTTTTTCAGTGTTTATTAATATATATGTAGGATATATAGGGATGTATGTATATATATTTAGATTTTGTTGATGCTATCTGTTCTAAAACACACTGTTATTTTATATACATCAAAAATAAAAAAAGTCACTGCTGATTATAAGGGTAGGAGATTGTTATGTATACGAAGCCACTGATGGTAAGATATATATACCGATTTCAGAGCTGTTACAATGTATGTTAAAAAGTGTGGTTTAGAATTGATGAAAAACACAATGTCATTTCCATTCCCTGAGGAACATCAATTCCTACATTTACATCACCATCTATCTTACCGTGAAATTATATAATTTACAGCTACTGAAACCTAAGTAGAACAGGAAGTTAGCATTCTTATACTAAGGTAATATAAATTGTTGATACACTTTTATTATGTTTTGTAGCAGATTACTTCATTGTAAACACTACATGACACTAAATCATTACTGGCTACCTTATTCAAGTAGTCTCTGAACATGAAAGTATTAAGTAGAAATGCATCTACTTAAAATTTATCTATAGAAGTCTTTTTATTTATTCAAATAATGTTTGAAGTTCAGTTAGTCTTTGCATAACTAGTCATTTTTACCGGTAGGAAATCATGTAAGCTCTGCCATTGACTTTTGGGTTGATAATATGAGATTGTTTATTTTTGGTAGGTAATCAATTCTATATTCCTGGAGGGAGGTGTGGGGGATAATTCTATACTACATGTTATCTGGAAACCCTGGTGGTATAGTGGTTAAGAGTTTGGCGGCTAACCAAAATGTTGGCAGTTTGAATCCACGAGACGCTCCTTGGAAACCCTATGGGGCAGTTCTACTCTGTTCTATAGGGTCACTACGAGTCAGAATCAACTTGACAAGGTTTTCTTTTTGGTACATGTTATCTAAGATAAATCAGTTTAAAATAACCAACTGTTCTTTATCTAACATTTCGAATTATTCCTGTTATCTGGTCATTTCCCCAACTCAAAAGCTATTTTGTCCTGTTCATAATGAAAAAGCAAGGGAACTGTTTTCAGTTGGGAGGAAGAAGTCCTTAAATTTTCCTCTCAGGCCAGGGAAATGAAGAATGGCTTTTCTGGCCCATAAATCATAAACATCTAAAAATTCAAGCCTTGAGCTGCAATTTTGAAGGATTCCGTGGGGAAAATAGTGAACGATGAAGGAAACATCAAAAGAAGATGGAAGAGGAGTACACAGCGTCACTATGCCAAAGAGAATCAGTCAGTGTTCATCCATTTTAGGAGGTAGCATATGATCAACAACTGATGGTACTGAAGGAAGACATCCAAGCTGTGCTGAAGGCATTGGTGAAAAACAAGTCTCCAGGAATTGATGGAATACTAATTGAGATGTTTCAACAAATGGATGTAGCGCTGGAAGCGCTCACTTTTCTGTGCCAAGAAATTTGGAAGATAGCTACCTGCCCTACTGACAGGAAGAGATCCATATTTGTGTCCATTCCAAAGAAGGGTGATCGACAGAATGTCGAAATTATTGAACAATATCGTTAATACCACACACAAGTAAAATTTTGATGAAGACAATTAAAAAATGGTTGCAGCAGTACATCGACAAAAACTGCCACAAATTTGAGCCAGATTTGGAAGAGGACGCGAAACAAGGGATATCATTGCTGATGTCAGGTGGAACTTGGCTGAAAGCAGAGA